TACTACCGATTGCAATGCACTTGTACCGTTTCAGTCAGAAGCCACTTTCGGACGACACGACGCAATTCTTTGCTTTACCGTTTACCAAAGTTGATATCTCTTTAGGATCGGTGCTGTCAAGAGGAAAAGGTACGTATAAAACTCGATGAAACATTTACAAATGGGATGAGACGCGTCCAACGATATTCCATTGTGTTTATTCAGGCTTCGTCTCGGAGATTGTCGCGAAATGGATCGTTTCAACGGGTATAGATCCAGCTCAATTACCAGACACCGAATCCGATCAGCAACTGTTAACAAACGACACCTTAGGAGTCACAAGTTCCTCGGACGAGCCGTGTAACACGGATACAGTCTCGCAGCATGATACGGAACAACCTTTACCATCCTCGTTACCATGCAACGAGACCGAAAGCGAAGCTAGAGACGATCCAACTGCTACTACAAGTATTTTAGGTAATACTCCTCCGCGCGTGTTCCCTCGATGTACAGGTCTTGAAGTATTTTCTTTTTTCTTTTTTTTTAAATCGAGTACAATTTTGCAGAACGAATTGCACTGTTGAAGCGTCATTTTCCATACAGTTTGACGAGTAGCGTTTTATTAGCTAACGTGTGTTGGGAGTTTGCTATGTCGTGGAACAAGGACATTTCTCAAATGAAGTCTCTCGAAAGCGCGTTAGTCGTGTTACGGCAAATACCGATGAAACAGATGAGGCACGGTAAGGATTCAAATAGTTTCGTCGCACGGAGAAAAATTCTCTAGATTTATTATAATCGAGTGGCTTCTTCGATAAGGTGTTTGCTGTCTGTTATGGTCAGTTCATATAAAGAAGCGAATGGAATCTGTTGCGAAATTAATGAACAAGCTTGGGAAACTACCGAAAGAGAGGCTGTGCATGCAGGAGGTTGGCTTGAACGATTCACAGATAGTTACGTTCTTACAGAATTCTCTTATGTTCTTGGAGATATTCGTAGATGTAAGTTGATCGTTATTAGGAAGCGACGAACGTTCGCGGACCGACACGCGTTTGTAAAAAAATTTAATCGAAGTTGTTCAAACGATTCGATTTTAGTGCGAGATACTAGAGGCAGGAGAGAATAGCGCAGTGAAATCGGAAGAATTGTGGGAAGGTTGTGGTTCCGGTCCACAGCCGTTCGCAGCATTGGCAATTTCTCAAACGCCGGCATGGTACGATCTGGTAATTTTACATATACAATTAGCCAACGTGTTGTACATGATGGCACATTTTAATCTAAAAGTAGCAAAACCATTGAACAACTTGTTCGAACCTGTGGTGAGTGCGAAACGACGCTACAATTCGAAGCAACGTGTTCGTTCGGCTTTGACATCGAGCTACATTCGCAGGTGCAATTGTATTTCTTCCAAACTCTGACGGACAAAGTGATGTTGACGTGGTACAGGGACGATAAGCGAGATAGTTTGAGGACAGAATTTTTATGTCGAGTAATCACCGCGTCGATGGATCATATTCATCGAGAAACCGCCAATGGCAAGGCAGTGAGCTCGATGCAAGCCATCGAATGGATGAGCAGATGCCAGAACCTAGCTTCCATGTGGAAAATTAATAACGACGAACTGAGGATACATCAAGTCGGCGAATTATATGTAAACGGTTTCGATCAGCTGGCGGAGGACGTGAGTTTTCTCTCGCTTCCATCGTTCTGATTTTTCCGTTTCGCGCGATAAACTGTTTCAATGCTCGATATTTTCTTTCGCAAAAGGTTGTCGCAGCTGTGAACGATACAGAAAAATTAGCAGTGAATCTGCTACCGATCGTTGGAAGAAGAATGATGGCGTACCTCTCGAGAGCGCCCGATCTTCTGGAAGAAGTAACCCGTTTAAATCCTGCGCTCACCTTGTATCTACAGAGCGTGGTATATATCGTCCGATAGAAAAATGATTTCCTACCGTTTCGAAACGTACACCCGCGAACACGATTAACAGAATTGGTCGAACCGTGATTGATCCGATCGATTGTTTCAGGACGTACCGGAAGTGATCTGTACAAATTGCTCGAACGACGAGACCGTCGAGTTGATCCGACGAGTTTCGAGGTGCTTGCCCGAAACGCATCCCGAGTACCATCTCGTGCAACTGATGTTGGATGCGACATTCATTTACGAGGGCGCAACATGATGTACGACTCGACGCACGACGTAAGACGACTCGATTAAAGGTAGCCTGTGTAGCCAGGAGTTTGTTCAATAAAGTTTTTGCTTTCGATCAATTTTCAATCGACTCTACGTCATCGATCGGTTGCTTCTCGATCATACTCGTCGCACAGACGAGTACGGACCCGCGTAGCACGATCGTTTCGTTTTCGATCGCGTTAGAGATCGAAATATTTACAAGATCGATCGATCGTTACGCGGATGACCGATCTATCGCGCGAGAATCGAGTTTTAGCACCTGCTAAAACCGACGACACCACCGCGCGCAACGCGTTTTACAACGTATAGGTAGACCGATGGTACCAACCTAGTTTCACCGTATACACACGTAGAGTTTCCAATCCTTCGGGGTCCGGACGAAGGTCGCCGGATCGACGACCGTGCGACTTTAATTTAAGACTAGGACGTTTTGATTCCCCGAGGAAAATGTTTCCGATATTTGAAAGAATTCTCGATCTTAAAGGGTCGATGTTAACCCCGGCCGTGTTCGTTGATCGAAGAGACGCGCTAACAAGAACATCGGTTTCGTATAGAACAGAGTGCATATAGAGTATATTATTTACATTGTCAGAAATCTTTTTACGCGAAAGGACATTCTCGACGAACGAATCAACGGATCAACGTACGATCGATTCCCTATTAAAAACGTATGGCGAATCCTTTGTACTGTTGCCTGCTCACACCTTCCCAATTCGTGAAATCGCAGCGATCGATCTCGCTGCCAGGACTTCCCACGTTCGTTAGCCATTGCGCCCTGGAACAGAGAACGTCGAGATGCTCAGCGTTCAGCGAAATGAAAAAGCTAAAAAGCTGAAAAGCCAAAAAGCCAAAAAACTGATCGACCGTACCCCGCGTACGTAAACATCGCGTATTCGTTAATCGGGAGTTGCCCGCGATTCATTTTTAAAGTCTGCCGTTCGGCTTCTCAGCGTCTCCGTGTTACGTATACGTTCGTACGTTGAAGCAACGCGATCGTATTCCGTTGAGCAATACGTGGGCACCGAAGAATCGAGACGTCCTCGATTTATCTTCGATTCTCGATAAATCCATCGAACCGTATTTCGAAATATAACATCGTATTCGTATTTTATCGCTCGCGGTTAATCAACGAGATCGAGATCGAGATCGAGATCGAGATCGAGACGAAAGGCAAGCGCGTCGAAACCGCGATTCTCGTCGATCGAATCGTGGCGGAGCGTGAAGCAGCGCATACGTAGTAGGCGTCTCTCTAACGCGGAACCCTGAATCTACGCGAAGCGAGGTCAGCGAGACGATTATCTGGGTCACTTTGTTCGAGCGTTGTTTCTCCGCCAATCGACGGTCATGCAAAAGTCATCCACTCGCCAAATATGTAACGATCGGCTGTGCGTGTGAGTCGCACGCGCGCCCGTCTCTGCGACAGCGCACCGCGCCTCGCATGCACCGCACAATTATAATTAGCGGTTAATCAGACCGAGTTCAGATATTTTAAGCGGCTCCATCGAAGTAGGATCTTCAAAGTCGATCAGCTGTCCCGTGACAACAATACAACGATCCGAACCACTTCTTGTTCTTCTTGTTCTTCTTCTTCTTCTTCTTCTTCTTCTTCTTCTTCTTCTTCTTCTCCTTCTCGGTCGGTTTTATCGACGATCGCATCTGGAATCTCCCCGAAGTCCTTGCAACTTGCGACGATAAGCTCCCTAAAAATGTTCGCGCAGATTTCCGAATGCTTCGAAAAAGTATCGACTGCTACGAACGCAACGAATTCTTCCGCATTCTTCTACGATTAAACCGAGCGCGCGGATGCCCGACAGAAACGCCTCGAAAGAACGGAACACCGGCAAGCGATAGATTATTCCGTTATCAAATTTCGAAGTTGGCCGAGGAAAATCGTTGACTCCGCGAGCCGAAAGCTTCGCGGACCAAATAAATAAATACGGTTTCCTTTTTGGGGGGAAGCCAGAAACCAACGTTTTGTCCTCGACCGAGCTATTTTCTTCAACTTCAGGTTCACGAACGGGGTGAATCCGACCGCGAAACCGACCTCTCGAGCGTCGCGTCGTTTCCCAATTTATCGTTCACCGGTCCGCGTACGCGTTTCTCTGCACTGCCAGAAACACCGTTTACGACCGTCTACTCTCGTTTCCGGCATAATACCGTTTCTACGCGCAAACAAAGTTCTTGTCATTGTTGTTGCTGTTGTCGTTATTATCATTATTATTATTATTCTTATTCTTATTATTATTATTGTTATTGTTATTATTATTATTACCGTTACACAAGACGGACTCTATTTCGATCGTTAAATTCCAAGTTCGATTCAGCGGGAAGCGTAAAGTACGAATCGGTTTCCGTAGAAAATCGCGCGGGCATCGGTCGAAAAATTGGATATATCGGGCTTCGCAGTCGTCGGTGATGCGTACATCGGATTCGACGGCAACCTGGGAAGGAAAGAGACGACGCGGTCCGCGCGCGCGCGCGCGCGCGTGCCATTATTTCATTAGAATCATTATTAAAGTCGGGCCCAACTAGCTAATGGCCGTTACTCGACAATTTACGGCTGAGGTCAGGCGATTTTTAAAGGAGACCCGAGAATCCGTAGGCTCGAGCGAACGGTGGCACGCGCGTATCACGGATTCACGGGATCGCGAGGAAGAGGATCGAGAACGATGCGCGACGCGCGAGCACCATTCTCCGCGAGCGCGATTCGTTCCCTGGAAATCCTGCCACGAAACCGTTCCGAACCGGTCGTCCATCGGATATCCGCCGAACGCCGCGTCCCGTCTCGACGAATTTGAAACGAAACGCTCCTGGAAAAACGAGCGTACCCTGGCATCGGCGTTAGCTCTTACAAGGTTCAACGTCCACGGCTACGAACAACGAGAGAAACCGGCGACATCGAAAGATCCTGTTTCAGTTTTCGCCGATACAGGTTCGTTTCCGCGGCGAGGATTCTTCGATCGTTCGAAAGATCGCTCGCGATCGTCGACCCTTCGCGTACGATTCTCGCGCGGAGGCTGGAGGAAATCGTAAAGGAACGGGTCAGCGAAGACGCAAACTTTCTCGGCCGCGACGCGCGAGTTCGCCTCGTATCGTTATCCGGTTCTCTCGACGCGATCGCTGCCAGATAAAATTTCAATAAAAACGTTCTTTCGTTCTGTTTGCGGTTCGGCGCCCGGCAGCTCGCGAACCCGCGGACACGCGGACGCTCCGTTACGGCGATAACGCCGCACGGCGAAACTCACATCTGATCGACGTACGCCCGTGGCCCCTGCATTTTTCCCAGGATCGTGCCGGTCTTGCTGTTCTTCACCCAACCGCAGATTCCCAGCTGCAGGCATATATCCCTCACGTACTTTGGAAAGTAGACACCTGCGAATTAGTTTGGTTCGTTAATGGTAAAACGAAACGCTCGCGACTCTCGTTTCCTTCTTCTCTTCGAACGCCGGGCGTTTCCGCTTTTTCCACGTGGTTCGGCCGTATTTAAACGGACGGTTACCGCGTTTCCGTAAAATAGACAACGGGTAAACATCGTCGGTGGCAACAACCACGGTTTCCAATATTTTTCTACGAGTTTGGCTTCTTTCGCGTCGGCTTCGGTGTACGCGAGGACGTCGACGGAGGCACGCGGTGCGATCTTCGAGATCGACTACGACCAAAGATCTTTCAGCATCCGTTCGAAGAATCGTTCCGGATAGTTGGCGAAAAATGACAAATTACTCGTTGCACGAATCAGAATTCTCCGAAACGATCTCCGAATAACGGGCCGAATTGCTCGCGGTTCGTTCTTAATTTCAATCGGCCGCGAACCTAACCGGATCAGCCCGGAAACGTTCACGGTCGTCGCTCGATTTCTTCGTCGAACGCGCAACGAGGCGTTACGTTTTCTTCGAAAAGATCTCCGCAACGAGATCGGACAGGTCCAAGTGCCAGGACGAAGATGGACTCGTCACCGCGAACGACTTTTCGCAACGAAACCGAACGTCCCTCGATCGGATCTAGCCCCGACGGCGAGACTCGGACTTGGCAGACTCGGACGGCGAGTTCGCGCGAACGAGCGAACGAGCGAACGAGCGAACAACGAGGCTACCGAAGCAGAACCGTTTTACGCGCGTACATTCGGTCGAACACGTCCGACGAAACGATCTCTCGGTTTCCAAACGCGAGCTCTCGTTTTCCGAGCTTCCAAAGTCGTTCGCGTACGATCGCGGGCCGAGTCGCGCATAGCACGCGGTCCGATGGACAAGCGTAACGCGCGTTCGGTACGCCGTGTCGCGATTTCGTTGCGAAAATGTCATCGAAACCGAACGCGTTCGAATCGTTCGAGAAACCAAAGGTTTGCCGGCTTCCGTTGGCTCGCTTACTCAGAAAATATTTTAGCGAATAGAAAATATTTTACAACCGTTCGACTTGGACGAAACGGATCGGATCGGTCGAAACGACCGACCAAACGGTTTATGTACCGTAAACGTTCGAGCCGTGTTCGTCGAAGAGAAAAATTTACCGTTGTTCGACCCTTACCCTGCACCTTGCCAAACACCTCGAACTCGACGGAGAGCAGTGGCTCGTTCCGCAGGGGATCGTCCGTAGCCATTCCGTCCGAAGCGAAGGGTTCAAGTTCTGGGGGTGCGGCGCGATTCGTCGGTCACCCGAGGAACTCCGGTTCGCGAACTGCTGAAAGTTCGAAACGCCACGGGAACGCGATCGGCATAGAAACTCTCGGCCGCGGCGGCTCCTCTTCTAGTACTCTGGACGCCTCGACTCGGCGCTTCACCTTTCCCCGTGATACGACCCGTCGCCGCGCCGCGACGCTGGCTCTCGGCATTGCACCACAGCGTGGCGTCGGCGACAGGCGTCGGCGACAGGCGACGGCGATGGCGACGGCGGCGGTGTCGCGACGACGCTTCAAATAGACGCCCCACTACCCGCGCGAAAATCCAATTGCGATCGATCGAGGGTCGATCGTTCCTCCTCCGTCGTTTCCCGCGCATCGAACATTCCAACCCTTTCCACGGCATTTTGAATTCGCCCTTGCGCCGCGCCGGCAAACGCTCCGAAGGCCGTGAACGGCGATCGAGATTTACCGATATATATTATTGTTTCGAAACGCTCGAACGTTTCGAGTAAACGATACGCGGCGCGGCCCAAGAGAACGCGGTGGAAATTTACCATTTCCTATCGAAACGGAGGATGAAAGCGGTGCGGGTACAATCGAATAAAACTCGCTGGATCGGATCGTTTCCTCTGTTTTTTATTATTCGAATCAATATTCCGGGTTAACAGTCGCATGCGCGATCCTATAAATATACGGGGGTGACCGTTCCTCTCGGTTTCGAGCAGCCTGCGAACCGTGCGCTCGCTCGCTCCCGTCCTCCGATCGGTACCGATACCAACCAAATATGTACCCACCGATCGGTTGCCGGCGCGTTCGAGCGAGAATTTTCACCGGGTTCCATCGATCTCCGTGGATCGACGGAGATCGATGGATCGTCGGTCGTGCACGATTCCGTTTTTCCGACGGGGCGGGGACGGGCGACGAGACTCGTCGCGTCGCGTCGCGCCGCGTCGGCTCGACGGCTCGACGGCTCCGTCCACGACTCGCGCCATTGTCCATTGTGAAAATATTAAATGTAGGCCAGGAGGGCAGGTCGCTCATCGTCGAACTAACCACTTCCCATCGATGCGCCTAGCCGCCCATTGTCCCGTCATTATTCCAGTTAATTAATTATTAGTACGCCATGACGTCGTAATTGATGCACAAGAGCGAAATCCGCAGGGTGTACAGGATGCGGGGGAGAAGGTTATAACCTATTTATAACGATCGCGTCCAGTCTATTACCATTGTCATCGTCAAGGTCTCATCCAGCGCTAGGATCGCGGTCGCGATTCGCTCGGGAAAGTCGGATCGCGAGGGATCCGTCGTCGGGCGATGGCCGAGGCGGGCCCGTCGGATCGATGACTAGAAATCCGACGACAGGTTCGAAGTCGACGACGCGACGTTCGCTCCGCGTATACTCTCCGTACGCGTATACACCGATCGTCGGACTCGAGAGCCGAACAACGCGTTCGCGATTCTCCGCAGAGGGTCGCGGGACCTTCGCGTCGGGAGCAACGGAAATATCGTTGATCGCGGCGAATCGCCGAGTTCGAGTTCCGAGCCTCGTTCGCGTTCCCCGTTGTCGTTTCTTCGACGAGGGTCGGCCGATTCTATGTGATAAATTTGTTTCCACGGCGTCTTTAAGGTTGGCAGTCGAGCGTCGATGATATTCTGTTCGAACGATCGTAAATGTTCACGGAGGTGCTAAAAGTTTGCGTTTCGGTACTCGGTACTCGGTACTCGGTACTCGGTACTCGCGACAGCGCCTTTCTTCGACGACCATCGTCGGCGCAGCATCCTGTATATACGAAAACGTTCTCCTCGCGACTCGGCCTCTCGTTGCAATTTTCGCGCGATCGTAGGAACGTCGCGCGCCTCGGGATTAAATCGTGTCCCGTTTACGCGCGCGTTCTACGTACGCGCTGGTCGCTGCGGCCCAGTTTTGCACGCGCGTCACGCCACGCGCGTCTTCGAGGAGGAGGCGGGTTCCTCCGGCGCAGCGGACGTACCCGCGTCTCGCTGCGCGACCGAACAAAATTACGCGCGCAGCGAGAGCGGATCGTCCGGTAGCCCGCCGCGCGTCGGTCCCCATCGAGGTCGTTCGATCGCGAACCCTCGATTCCTAGCTCGATCGGTCTTCCGATCCGTTGGTTCGTCCGATCGTCCATCTACGATCTATCCGTCGATCTAGGCACCTATCTCGCTACTCGAGATCGCCTAACCGCGTCTGTCCGATGTTACGGGTTACGGATCGCCCCGCGGGGCACCGACCCTGGTTCCGGTCCCGGTCCGAGCTCCGGCCACGCCCCCGGACGAGGCCGCGCCCGTCTTTGCCCTCGGGCTGCCGAATCGGCCGTTTCTCGAGCAATCGGTCCGCTCGAGTCTTGCTTTGCTCGTCCTTCTTTTGAACTTTACCGCTTCACTGTTTCACTGCTTCACCGATCACCGATCACCGATCACCGATCACGGGCACGAACTCGACTCGGTTTCGGTTTCGGTTTCGGTTTCGGTTTCGGTTTCGGTTTCGGTTTCGATCGCGATTACGTATTTCGATGTTTCGTGGTCCTCTTCGTTTCGGAACGTGTTCGCGCGGAACGCGAATCCTCGCCGCTTACGCCAGAGATTCAGGATTCGTCGACAAGATGGTAGCGGGCGCGCTGTTCGACAAGAGAGCCCCGTTCTCGGTGTCCTTCGCGTTGCTCTCGGGACGGGGCCGGAGGTCCTTCGACGCTACCAGCAGGTTCCGTCGCCGAGCCTCCTTCTTTTCGCGTTCGACCTGTCGACAGACGTTTCGCTGGTCAACACCGAGAATTCGTTCGCCTCGTTCCTCGTTCGCGGTCTCGATCAAGTTCGATTTCGAGGAACGACGCGGACATTCGACCATTCGAAGAGAGACGGTGCGCGGCGCTTCGGCGCCGCCGGTTCGGTTTTTCTTCCCATTCCGCGCGCGATATCGCGTTCCATAAACTATTTCAACTGTCTCGACGTCGATACCGCGCGCGTTCGTTCATGAAATTTCGCAAGAAAGCGTGGCTGGACGATTCTCGCAGCTTCCGTACGCGACGCGGATATCTCGACGGTCTTCGAGGAACACCTACCTTGAAGAACAATCGAAGATAGTGGCAGGGGAACGCGACGCACTTGCCGTCCTCCCCCTCGGCGTCGATGTAGACGCCGCGGACGAGGATCGAGTTGCTGCAGTTGAGCAGCACGAGGAAGACGAAACAGCCGACGTGAGTGATCCAGCAGGAGAGTTCCAGGTTGGTCGGGACCAGCCAGAGGTCGAGCAGGTTCCAGATGCCGCGCCACACGTTCACCGTGCCCAGGAAGCTCAGCAGAAGGAAACCGTCCGCGGCGATCAGCCGCGCGAGACCTCGAAGACGCGCGCACACGTATTTCATCGGCGGCTGCAGACAGTACGTCACCGTCACGATCGCGTACCCGATGGCCTGCAATCGAACGGTGCCAATCGTTAGGACGCGTTCGTGGAATCCGGTTTATGTATATCGATCGCGTAATCCCGATGCCGTCGCGTCGGAACAACGATCGCAGCGGCCCGGTTCCGTTCGATTCGCGAGGACCGATTTGGCCGGCCGTCGCGCACCGTCGTCGCGTCGTCTTATCGGATTCGACGAAATCGCTGCCGTTTCGCTGTTATTTCGTTCGTCGCGTCACGATCCACCGGTCTTCCCACATCCGTTCCATCTTCTTCCGAATGTCCTCGGTGGAGCGTCGTTCCGCTTTCAAAGACCGCGCGTCTCCGTTCCAATTCGCTGTCACGACGGATCTCTCTCTCTCTCTCTCTCTCTCTCTCTGTCTCTCTCTCTCTCTTTCCGCCATTCGATCCATTTGGCACGAATGAGAAAAACGGTTCGGGACGACGATCGCGTCCCAGTCCGCGACTCGTTCAGCGAATTGGAACAGCGGCCCGCGGTTTCACGGTTTCGAAGCGGCATTGCAACCGAGTAAATGCGTGAATTGGACGACCCTCGCGCAATCATCGACCCTCTTGAGAATTTACGCTGTCGCGATTCGCGCTCGTCGGGCAAACGCGTCCGGCTGGAACTTCTTCCGTCGCTCTCGGAGACGGACCGGCGTGGACTTTGAAAACGAAGGCTGACGCGCGACGCTTCCGATATAGGAACTCCTCCGCGAGGCTCGAAGAAAAACGCGCGACGGACGTTGGACCGCGATACCGCGCCGAGCTAGCCTTCGCAGATTTTTCAGACGGTTCGATGGACAAGTTTTATTTACCCCAGGCGCAAGCTCGGTTCATTGTTATAAACAACAATAATACCTCTTATCGCGAACGCTTCCATATTTACTCGCCGGCTCTTGTTCGAAGGAGCTCCAACGATATCCGATAAGGGGCCCGATTCTCTCGATCCAGATTTCTCGACCGAACGAATCGACGGCCACGATTTCAGCGATTATTCGTCGTTGCATCGAATTCGGAAAGAAACGGATTCTCGACGCGCCGCTCTCGATATCGAACGATATCGGAAACCGATGTCGGAAACCGATGTCGGAAACCGATGTCGGAAGATCGCAACTTCCGAACGAAAAAAAGTATCGACGATCTTAAAAGGTACCGGCGAGAGATTCCGGCGTTCGTCTCGATCGCGATAATTCGCGGTGCGAACCGATCGTCGGATGATATCCGCGCGCGCTTCCGTCTGGTCGCGAAGCAATCTGGCGCCACGAAATTTTGTTTACGGGTTTCCCGGCTGCTTCTTTTATCGAAAGTTGGGAAGCTACGGGAGAATGGCGGTCGATCCGGCGGTCGATCCGGCGGTCGTCTCCGGTCGCCGATCCACGATAACGGAAAAATTTACGTGGCCGACGACGATCGTTCGAGCCCGAGGCCGGCACCTAGATCTTATCGAACGATCGATCGAGGCGACGGCGAATTTCGATCGGTCGTCGATCGTCGCGGGGTATCGACGATCGCGAGATCGCGCGGCCGTCGCGCCGCCTCCGGTTACCGGAACATCGTTGTTATTGTCTGGCAACGAGCCGGCTACCTGGCGCCGATCCGCCGCCATTTTGCAATTAAACGTCGCGTCGCGACGAGGCTCGGCCGCGGAATCGCCGGCAAACACGAATCGTCTCTTTCTCGTCGTCGCGATCCGAGAAAACGTCCTTTGGAAAACATCTTTGCGCTTTTCTAGAGCGATCGGAAGCGCGTCGCTCGATCGATCGTATCGATAATTTCAGTAGAAAGAGAGACGGGAAAGAACGTATACGAGAGAGAAGAAGGATCCGCTGTCCTATTTAACCGAGGGTCGTCGATCGCTTCGAACGCGACGATCTCCTTCTTTACAGCTTCGACGATTCGCGAACGATTCGAAAAACGTGCCAAAGGGTCGTAAACGTCTCTAATTTACCGATCGCCGACTCGCCAACGAACGCGAGAATCGCGGCGATCTATCGTCGGCTGCAGCGGCGCAGCGGCGCAGCGGCAGCCGGTCGGTCCACCGTGATTTCGAATAGAACGCGCCGCGCCGCGCCGCACCGGAGCAATGTTAATGCCGACAAACTGGCCGGCTTGGAGAATCAACGATCGTCATTATTGAAAAATTAAACAAATCCTCTCGTTGACCGCGTTCTCCGCATTGACCGCACCGCATTGCACCGCATTCAACCAAGTAAACGCGGGCTGCAATAACGTCTCTCGCACACGCTCGCGCACGCTCGCGCACGCTCGCACACGCGCGCACACAGAGAGATCAACAGTTTTGTCATGTGCCCTCGCAATCATGCAATTGGCGAATATTCAATTATACAATCGGACCAACAGCGTGCCGCTCGCGTACAGCGCGTAGGTGGCACGTTTCAAAATGTCGTTCAACACGTGATTGTTAATGACACCCGACGACACGCGTTCATCGATTCCGCTTCGAACCGTTCGCGCCTCGACGCGTTTTACCGATCTCGGTTCGTCTCGCCGTCGGTTTCGAAAATTTGCTCGACGCGTTCCCCGATTCGGTTCGGTTCGGTTCGGTTCGGTTCGAGAATACGGTCGGCGGCGCGCGAATCCGTGATCGCGCAGAAACGGAATTTCTCCGGCGATGGGAAATTTGCCGAAACGTTTCGCGGAACGCGACTCGGTTTTAACTTACAAGGGATCCGATCGCCGAGTACTCTTGATCGTCCGGGAAGAGATAGATATCGACGAGGATCCAAACACCCCTCCACACGAACACGACCAGGGTACCAACGACGCCAACGCTGAACGCGCAATCCAGTAAGTACAACGACCAGTCTCTCGTGTTCTGCAATCAAACAACATAAACGAGATAGATAAGCTCGATCCGCGCCGCGGCCGAGGACTCGAGCAATATTTGCGAACACTCGAGAACTATTGTACGATAAGCGTTCGCACGATATGCGGAAGATTACTCCCGACCGGGCTAACAACGTTCGGGGCGGGCCATCGATCGGTCGGGACGCGAACTTCCATCGATCGGATCGTTGGGCACGTTTCTGCGATATCGGAATTCGGAAAAGTCGCGACGCAGCCGACCCGACCGCCGTCGAACGTTCGGTATCCGGACGATTTATCCGAAAACGTCGCGACACCGATTCTCCTTCAGGCGCTTCCGCTCGATCCGAGAACAACGCCCTGCGTCGTTCCTGCGCGCGTCCGACCGACTCTGTTCTTTCTCCAGACTCTGGACGATTCGGATTTACCGCTGAGAGAAATCAACGCGCGTTAGGATTCTGCGAGAAGGACCGAAAGAACGATCGATGTACCGGCGAGCCGATTCAACTCGTCGGCATCGTCGACGAGACTGCCAAGAGTCGTTCGCAGCTAATGCTAATGCCAATGTTGATGCTCGCGTTAACGCTAACGCTGATGCTAATGATGATAATGGCAACGATGTCACCGCGTCATCGATCGCGTGCTTCGACGGTGTAGAATTCGGTTATCGCGCGGATCGCCCAACTCGCGCGTCCCTAAATCCATCGATTCGGCTGCTGCCATCGCGGCGATATCGCGTTGTCGCTGGAATCAAAAATTCCAGAAGAAAACAGAGAAATATATCGCGACGGCGATTAAATATAAATAGGCCGCCGCAGCGATTCGATCGATCGACGAACGCAGGATTCTATCGCGAAACGGCGAAATCGATCTCCGAAGGATCTTCCGTTAGATCGTCGCGTGACGCATAGTTCACGAGGCAAACCCGCGTCTGCAGTCTGCGCGCACCGCCCGATTACTTTGCACCCTTCTGTCCTCGATTTTTAACTGACACAGAGGACTCAACTGACGATAATTAAGTCAAGATTCGTTGCACCGTCTCCGTTAATTTCACAACGAATTCCGAACAGAATTTTTCGACGATGCGCAAGCCGGGAAGATTTCTCGCAAAATTAACTTGGATCGGTTTCCGATAATAAATATCGAACGACGCGACGAAGCATCGATGTCGAGAGAGAGAGAGAGAGATAACGCGGTCGATTTTGCGCGAATGGAATTCCGCTCGAAGATCCATCGAGAAAACGCGCGGCCGTCGTCGGACTTCAAGGTGAGATTGTTATGAAAGAGAATTGAAGTTGAAAGAGAGTCAATTAGGCGCGTATAAGCTTGTAAGGTCAAGACACGTAATACGAAAAGTTCAATGTCGAAGGAGGTTCGCCGCGGCGGCGAAAGACGGATAACGACGAAGCACGACGGAGAGCGAAGCGCGACGGCTCGCGGCCGAATACGCGGCCGAATACGCGGCTCCGAGAGCCGAAATCCGGCCACGTCGGAAACGGAAAAGCGTCCGTCGACGAAGAGAAAGCGCGCGACGACGCGATCGGTTCGCTCGGAAATTGACGCAGCTCGTAGCAGCTTGCAGTCGATGGCCGGCGGTCGGCAGCTGGAAGCTGGAAGCTGGGCTCGTGCGTGTGCAAACTGCACGGACGCGATGCTGTTCGACTGTCGGGTCGGGTCGGGTCGGGAGTCGGGAGAGACAGCCGGAAACTGCGCTTATACCTTGCACATCGATGCCACCGCATGCACCGTGCACCGTGCACCGTGCAACGTGCAACGCGCAACGCGCAACGTGCACCGTGAAACGTGCAACGCGCGGCCCGATGCGTCGAAATGCACCGTCTAAGCTCTTACGTTTCCTACTTAACATCTACCCTTCTTCCGATCGCGTCCGGCGCGATCGATCGGTTTCCTCGGTCGCTTTTGACTCCGTTCGATCGAAAAACCGGCGATTCCCTGCTAATTTCCCGCTAATCGCGTTCCGACACATTTCCCGTGGATCGCTACGCGAACGCGATCGATTCCCACGAAAATCGAATTCGATCGACAGATTTCGTTCCGTTCCGGTTCTTCCAGCCGGGCCGCATCGAATTTTTAGCGGATCGCGGGCGGCGACGTTCGTTGGCGACAGTAAGCGGAATCGCGGAATATCTCGCGAGGACGATCGACCGAGATAAAGGGGGTACACGGTGTTATCGTCGCAGGGGCAGAAAACTTTCCGCAATCTCGTTCAGGTACAAAGACATCGGTCGTTTCCGAACGACCGATATCATCGGCTACGTCGTTACCGCGCGATTCGACGGTGCACGTATTCGGCGTTCGCCGTTGCGGGATGCGGCGAATTTTTCCACCGATCGACTCGTCCGACTCCGTCCGACGCTGCTCCGAACGTTGAAAAAATGTTGTTCGAGGTTGAGGAAAATTGTTGGAACGCGCGAGATCGTACGAAAAGCCGCGTTGCACGAGAAGCAGCGACGCGAGCGCGACGCGAGCGCGACGGACCGATCGTCGGACGACCATCCGTCGAATCCGCGGATCGGCCGGCAACGTCCGAGCACAAGGAACGCGGTTTCCGGAAGGAGAACCTTCGTAAATCGCGGATGCGGATGCGGATGA